GTGATTCTGCACTATGGCAGGACCCCCCTTTGCCAAAGGATGGCAACATGGAATATGTTTAATAATGTGTGGCCTGTAATTAACCCATAATTCTTGGCTCGCATCTTCATTCCGGGTTTGGGAAGGCAATGATACTTGGCTTCAGCCAAGGTTCGTGTTTATATGGCAAGGTGAAATCACTCCGTTTTAGGCAATGTTTTCAGTCCCTGTCAAATTGCTAACCAGGAAATGTTTTCAGTCCCTGTCAAATTGCTAATCAGGATTGTATGGATGTATGTAGAGCAGTGATGTCATTCCATTCACTGATCAATTACACAAGTGATGGGTAAAACCTGGTATTCTGCTTTATCTTTATATCTTTTAAAAATTAATCACTAATTGATAATTAATTCAGTTACTAGAGTGGAATCATGGTCCAGAGGCCTCCAAATATGCTTTCTGATGTCATGGGACATTTGATTCTCGTGCATCAAGGTATACCTGATGCCTTCAGATTGACTGCATCACCGCCTGCCCAAGACCATCCTACAGGGTGGTGAGTCCCAAAATAAAATTCATCAGTTTCTCACAGTCCCTCACGGGACACACTGCTCAGCAGTGTGAGAGGAACAGGACCGTGATGGCATTCCCCAAATCCCCCAGCCCTCTGCTGTAGCAGAGGCACTATTGAGATTGACCCTGTGGTTGTTTTGTTCTCCCCATTCTGGATGAAACATGAGAGGATTTATCACTGTTGTTGAAACCAGAACTTGCTATTTGGTGTGAGAACATCTGGAAGGAAATATTTTAGTTTGTTGACTACATGAACTATGCTGGTTAGGGTATTCTGAGAGGGGCAGTCCCATAAAAATACCCATCCCCAGCTCCTCTGAGAACTATATTTCTCTGTAACTCACAACATGCCAGGGCTTTGCTCTGCAAGAGTAAACATGTCAGAGAGGGCTGTTGCCTCTTTTGCAGCTTGAGAGCCTCTGCACACTGCCACTAGTGTATAAATGAACATGTCACAGCCTAGGGATTCATCAAATCAATTAGATTCATTCAGTTGACATAAACAGGATTTGAAGTGTATTAACTTTAATGTGGATATGTCCCCATACACATATTATGACTTCTTTTAGTATCTTGGACCTGTGCCTGCCATGCATACTGGTGTGGAAGCCAAGAGATATCAGACAAGGAAAATGTTGTTTCAAGGATTATGCCAAAGGCCTTTGAAAGTAAAGGAAAATACTATAAAACATACAACTTTTTGAAATATGGAGAGAGAGAAAGGATGTTCCACCAGTGTCTTACTGTTATTGAACTAATTCAATTTATGTATGACATCTTAATATTTCAGATACTGAGCATTAACAACGCTGCTGTTGAGCATAACAAAATTCAAATATCTGCAAAGTAATTTTTCCTGTCTTTGCAGGCTGAGCAAAAAACAAACAAACTCCAAGTTACATAAACAAAACAATAGTATTTCTCTCATCAACTATAACTATTAAATATTAATGGATGAAAAGTTAGTTGTCATAAGTATACTGTTATACACTGATATTTGTATTTGCGGCAATTTTTCATCTTGTTCATATATGTTGCATTAAAATCTGTCTGTAGTATTTATTTTATTCCTTGCTATTGCTCACTATAGTGACAACAGAACTTAATATCATGGACTGAAATAAATAGATGATGCATACAATATGCCAGTGGAAGGATGATAAAGTCAGCAGCAGATTTCCCCCTTCTCTCCTGCGGCTTGCCCATCTCATAAGTAATATGTTTCATGGTGTGGACATCATGGGAGCTGCACGATGGAAGGAGGAAATGTTTAGTTACTGAAAATCTCCTTCCAGCAATATCATTTGGTGGTGGTGGTTGGTAACAAAAGACTATTTCTATCTACCCCATGGCTCCTGTTGCTTCCATGAAATGAAACAGATTTTCTGCAAGTTGGACAAGCCACAGGAGAGAAGGGGAAAGTCTTTAATTACTAGATGTCTCCCCCACTGGTGATGTCAAGAGGATTTTGGCCAATGACAAAAATTCAGCTGCATATTTTAGTATCCAGCACCAGCAAAAGTGAGGGGGTCTCTCTTTTTTTGCCTCCTTCTCCCATTGTAGTCTATATACAACCTAAAAATCTGTTGCAGACAATTTCCCACCTCTATAATACAAATTTTAGGGCATATGGGGTCTTTAGGAGGAAGGGGATTGGCAGCTCTGGTACAAGCAGTAGGAGCCAGCTGTCCTCTGCTGGCTTCTGGCCAACATTGCAATGTAACATTATAAAACTATGCATGGGCTCAGACGTTCTGTTTAGAAAGTGAACCCATAGGGGGAAAAATGGAAAGAAGCCTATTAAAAATAATTGGCATGAGGAGAATTGGGGGGGGAGGCATATTTTCCTCACAGCTAAATTGAGTGTTCCCTGTTTCAGGAGCATATTTGTTATTTAATTCTTGCAGAGGTTGAAGATATGTACAGGCTTCTAGTATGGATGCTGTGTGGAGAGTATCAGCAGAGCAGGTAAAATTCCTTTGAAATACACCTCGGTGTGGTCATATAGACTGGAGGTTTCTAGAAGATGAAGACCATTTTCAAGCACTGGTTGTTGGAGTAAAATCCATTTTTTTTTATCCCTCTCTCACTAGTCCCGGCTGGGAGCCTACCCACCTTCACCTTCAGCAGGAAGTTATATGTCATCCTAGTATAGTATAGACAGAACAAAAATCTCTTAATGAAGGAAATGTGTGGTGTGATCCTCTCTCTCTCTCTCTGCTTCAGACAACACAGTGAAATGTAAAGACAGACATGAGAGTCATTCCTTGTGCACCTATGGGCACTGGATGCCACCCTATTGATGGGGTAAGGTTGGATTTAAGGTTGAATTTTTACACAGTATACAGACTACAGTATTTTGCAATAAATGCCTGGAGATAACCAAACAAAATCAAACCCTTTATTTGTTTAAAGGCACACTGTGTGATTCCTGCTCAACAAAACAATGACCCACCTTCCATAATGCTGAGGAAAATTACATAAGCAACGGGTTCTAATTAAGGACAATTTAGCATCCTCTCCACTCTTTACAAGGTTAAATTCAGTTTGATTGCTTGTAAAAGTATATGTGAACATCAGAACATTCTGCTCTTTTCTCACAAAACATACTTTCCTGTAGGGACTTGTTGCTGATGGCGTATCCTAATCCAATGGGTCACACAAGTTTTATTATTGGTCTGGAAATTACTAATATGTGGCTATTACTGCCAAATTTGTTTATATCTGATCAAACTGTATTAGCAGAAGAAGGCAATGCTAGAAAAATGCTACCCAGTGTTCTTCAGTAGTAATTGGGTAATTGTATTACAGAGCCCAAAATCTTCTCTGAATTGTTTAATTTTTTATGGGCCAAATCCTGTTTGTTACACCCACAAGTTTAATACAAATGGTGTAAATTTTGGAGGCAAACTGCCCCCAATGAAGAAATCAACTCAACAATCAACAGATAATGCCTCTCATAACTTCTTAACTTGAGACAATATGTCTCTAAAAATTAAGCTGTTTGCATTATACTGACATAAAATCAGAATAGGAAACTGGCCACTTAAAGTCCTTCAGATCTCTTATTCGTTTAAAATTACTGTTTTAGCTCAGTAAATGTCCTTTTATTGAATGTATCCTGCCTTGAGAAATGTTGATATAGGGCAGGTTGAAATTGTTTAAGCAAATAAAATTGCTACTACCGTTTAAAACAAAGGTGGACAATTTTCAGAGATCCAGAGACTACAAAGACCTTACCCATTCTAGAACTCCGACACTCCCATTTTTTTCTTGTCACCTAAAACTATCCCTTGTACCTTCTAGGACAATTTTACTGTGTTGTAGACCACCACAGACCTTGGGGACACCCGCGAGGGGGGCACACACGGAGCTATAGGGAAAGAAATGTATCTTGTGGGCTACTATTCATCTAACCCATAAATTGAAGAATCCTTAGAAATGTGGTAAGTGTTAGCATAGCTCAGGGGAGAGAAGTGCCTTGCTGGAGAGCTGAGAGCTTTGAGTTCACATCCTTACTATGCTCCTGGGAGAGGACTCAGACAAAATCACCTAGAACTTGAGTGACTTGAGTGATTTAGATGTTCAGCAATCTCTGGGATCTTCCCTGGCTTCACGTTCCAAGGGCGTTACCAGAAGGGGGGACTGACAAATCATTTTAAAAGATATATTACATGTAGAAAACACTATGAAGGTCATCGTGAGTCAGAAGTAAGTTGATGGTCCCTTCTTTCTTTCTTTCTTTCTTTCTTTCTTTCTTTCTTTCTTTCTTTCTTCCTTCTTCTTCTTCTTCTTCTTCTTCTTCTTCTTCTTCTTCTTCTTCTTCTTCTTCAAAATTTGCTCAGCAAAAGTCTTTTCAAAATTAACAGCAGACACTGTACCCTGCACAAAATGCAATGGACAAATTAACTTATTTACATTACTAAGAGAGTTTTCTATTTGATGACAAAACAATATACTCATAATAGGAAATTTAGTAATCCATAGACGTGTGATTTCTTTTAACAAACTGATTATAGTTATAGAAAAATGTAAGTAATCAATTTTAGAAAAATATTTCCAAATAATGTAAGCATTTTAACTAATTATACAGTTGGTAATGCAAATACAGACAACTTCATGATAGGTAAACATCTAAAATGCAGTTAACACAGAACATAATACAAACTCATTCATTCATTCATACAAACTCATATACCACCCAATAGTGTGATACTTCATTCATTCATTCATTCATTCATACAAATGCATATACCACCCAATAGTGTGATATTTATAACAGATAGGTTTTATTATCAGAATTTGAGAAACAGGAACAAGAGAGTAGAAAAAATGGAACAGGAATATCCAAACAAAAGAAAACAAAGGTGCTGGCTGGGCGTTCAGAGCAATAGCATCTCACACTTACAATATGGGATGGCGGAGTCTGGCCTTGGCCTCACATGCTCATTACAGAGTCACATTTTCATCTGGAGTACAAGCAATCTGACACTTAGAGGCCCTTGAACTGGCCTCTGAACTGATTTGTCTGGAATCCAATAAAACTCCCTTTCCCATCTACACATCTCTTTCAACTCCCTTTTTAAAGCAGAGTTCATCAAGTTGCAAGATGCTTGTCAACATCCTTTATTATCAAGGAGATGGACTAAATGGTCTCTAGTTTCCCTTCCAGTTCCAAAATGCTAATATCCTACTGCTGGTCCCTACTGGAGGAAATGCACTGGCTCAATAGGATTCAATTAAGCTTTGATTTATCATTCAGGAATGGATCCAATGGATCTACTCTCTAGTGGAAACTAGGAAATAGTCAGTTATTCTAAATTTGTGATGGAGAATCTTTAACTTTAAAATGTTTTGGACTAACTCTCTCACACCCCTTCAATGTTTATCATGCCTAGGTGGGGCCGTTGGGCTGTGCTAGGCTATAGGATGTTTGGAGATGACAGGCATCTGGAGTGCCAAAGGCTCCCCAACCAGTTTGAAAGAAAATCCAGCGCTCTGCCATAAAATACAGTTGCTTACACGTTGTAGGATATATTATGAAAGAGTCCTAAATTCTATTTTGAGCCACGTGAGTAATGTCTAACAAAAAAAGAAAGAAAGAAAAGGCCAAAGGTCTTCCAAAGTGGAAGAAAATGGAGGCCAAAAGCAATACCAGTGAGCCTTCAGGAAAAAGGAGGAAGAAATTAAAAGGTCTTCCTCATCAAGCTAAGCCAATTTTGGTTAAACAATGACTTTCACAGAAGAATTGTACCAAAGTTTACCATATTAAAGATTTCAGGGGCTCTCTTTGAACACACCAGGATAAGCAAATGAGGTAATTGAGGTGGCGGAGTATCAGTTTAAGAAAAGATTTCAGGGGCTCTCTTTGAACACACATAAGCAAATGATGTAATTGAGGTGGCAGAGTATCAGTTTAAGGTAGCAGAAAAAATAGTATTACAGCACTGCAGTGATTCACCCCATTGGTAGACAACATGTTTCATACAAATGAGCTGATGAACTAAATGTGTGATCAGGAACCTACCAAGGAAAGCCTGAGTCGGACTCTGTATGCTGAACAGTTTTTAGAAGAGTATTGTTTGAAATTTCAGCCCAGTTACTTGGCAGGGTGCACATTGTAATCTTAAAGTACCATCAGCAATGGAAATATCGCAAGTTATTTCTCTACAGACAACAAGCTGCAGACTGTTTTGGAGCTTGGCTTCCACCGATTCTGTCATTCCTCTTGCTCATTCAGTAACTGGGCTTCTCAAATTGCCACAGTCACATTCACTGGGGCAGCCAGGTCAATTGCATTCTGTTCCCTGAGATTTTCAAGTCACAGTTGGAGACTCGGGCCAGGCTTTTCTTTTGTCCCATAAAGGGTGGGACGTTGTGATGTCAGAGGGGCAAGTCCTTCAGCTAAAAATTGCAAAATGGAATGACAAACAATGAAACTCCAGTGTAGATGAACTGAAAAGCTAACGTACAAATTCCAACAGCCGCAGCTCTAGCGCATGCAAGACGGTGGAAATGGCAAGAGGGTTCCTGAGCATTTCTAACTGACATGTATCGAAACCAGAAGAATGGTCCAGTATCTGGATTTCCAGGTTGGCAATACCCCATTTCTTGAGATGAAATGTCCAAAGTCTGAAACCTGGGAAATGCACCCAAGGCCAAATGCTGACATTTGGCACTTGTACCCATCATGTAGCTAATAAACTTTATCCAGTGAGCACATGTTTTCCATGCAGAAAGGCTCAGTATTCTGTCACTGGCGTCTCAGTGTAGGGCTGAGAAAAAGTTAATGATTCAAAAGGTAATAGCATTGTCTTACTCATCACTGCTGGGACCTTTTAGCAATGGGTGGAACCAACTGGTTCCACTTCATAATGAATACATTTAAAATTAATTACTCTTCTGATTGGTTATTAATTCAGCTACCAATGTGGAGCCAAAGCCTAGGGGCCTCCAAGCCTGCCTGAGTCAACTGGCATTGTAAGAAATACCATTCCCATCCTTCAAGGTTTTGCGTGGGCAGCATGGTGTGGTGGAGAGGAATCGTGACTTCGTTCAGGCCTTGAGGCTAGTTGAGGCCTGAAAAACGAAGATGGAGACCTCCCCATGACCCTTTCCTGCCTGTGCAGTCTTGTCTCAGTAGTGTTGGGGTGATGGGCTTTGTGATAAAGTGTATAAATGTAAATATATTTCCTTATACAGATTGTCAGTTCAAAAATAAATAATAATTTACTTTGAAATGCCTTATAGTAGACTCTCTTGCAACAAACTGCTGGGGAAGCAAGTAACCTTCCAGAAGTTTGTGATCTACTGTTGCCATCATTCCTATCACTAGGCATGTTGGCAGGGGCTGATAGAAACTAGAGCCCAACATTTGGGGAGGCCCAGGTTCCCTTGTCCTACATTAAAGAAAATCACAAGACCTCTCTGGATGTTCTTGGATGGAGGTCCAGATGTAAGAAGCCATATGGCAAACAGGGAAAAGTAGATCTTCAGATGGCTCAGTGTGATGGATCTTGTGAAGTAGGCAGGGCTATATCCAGACTGGAGCATCGGAGAGCTAGTGAAAGCAAGGGTGTGGGTAAGTTTGAAAAGTAAAGTGTTGGATTCAGTAGAGGGGAATGGCACCAAACATCTGGTTTTTTGCTCTTTTGCCATCTGAGAGACAAAAGCAAATTTGACTGCAAATTTCTGAACACAGACAAGAGGACTAAGATAGAATAATAGAAAAGCCCTCAAGGAGAAAGTTGCAACAGTGAAGGAAGTAAAAGACTAGGGCCCAATTCTGATTGTATCTGGTTGGGTTA